TGTCCACAAGATAAGGCAGATTCCTAAAGCAAGAATTTCCTCTAAATGTATGCATTATCTTATAGCAATTTAAAATATTGATTTTGTGTGGGTTTTTTATTTGAGGTGTGACACACCCATGAAAAAGGTTGTCTTCACGAGAACTTCCCTTCCATGCCCCAAGGTATAGGCAATGAAAAGTAGAATAGATCGTACCATAGCTACAATTCCTTAATCCATATATCAGATAATAGATTCAGGGACTTCCCTGGACCAGGGAAGAATTTCCATTCACTGTTGAGCAGAATAGAGAAATGGAAAACAGCCTACATTTTCTTGATGTACCACTGGGGTCTTCTGTATATGTTTTCTTGTAAGGGACAGGAGGCATATGGCTGGGATATTTCCTGTTTTCAGTCATAATTGATGAACCTTTATTTAATTATTACCTGAGTTTTTTTCTGTCAAAAGGCTTACTGATTATATGGGACACATTTAAAACAATCAAGGCTGCAGAGCAGGGATCCAATTGGCAACTGACCATCAGGTTTACAGACCTAAGAAGCTTGAAACAATAAATGCCAAGGTTTCTTATCCTGTCCCCAACATGATCCACCTTTCTTTTTTCTTTTATTCTTTTTAATTATTCTTTAGTCAACATGAATTCAAACAGACTTTTCATTTTAACACTAGTTGTAATAAATCAAGGGAACCCAAAACTTACATTTGCGTGAGGGACAGAAGAGAGATCTTTTTCTCTTAAAATGTTTTTTGATGAGAGGCAAGTTAAATTGTAGATAAAAGGTTAGTTTTAGTTTTAATTTTGCTGGGTTGGGAGAGTAAAAGATGGTTGGAAATGAATAGACTTTTTGAATTGATTTTGTCTATTTTTTTACATTATATTGTTTGCTACTTTGGAAATTTTAAAAAGTTCAATAAATTTAAGTCATAGAGGAATGTCAAATTTAATTCTGTTTAATATCTACATTCATTGAATTACATTTGTAAGGGATAGAGTTGACAAATTATATAAAATTGTCCACTGAACATGCCTTTGCTTTTTTGAGAGAGTAGAATAAACATGATTCAAATTATAAGAAATGTTCCAAGCTTCTCATTTTGAAATGTCAAATTAACAGTGTCTGTATGGACTATTTAACAATATTCTTTAAAATTGGGTGCTTTTAACTATTGGTTACTGAATAGCATGCTGGGAGCCACATTGGACATTTACTAAAAAATGCTTAAAAATTCAGTTGTCCATTTTCATTTTAACAGCCTTAGTAACAAGAATAATATTAATCATAGTACTGCTAGAGCAATAACCCAGTTTGATAATCACCTTCTTCACTGCTTTATTTCTGAAACATTGTATATTTTTATTTTCTAAGATTATTATAATTTGGAAAAACATTTTGTATCAAATAAACTTTCAGCAATAATTTAAGTATTGTTTTATTTCCTGTCTGGTTTACACATATAGCCTTGTTTGGCATCAATATGGCAATTATCACCTCCATTTGCTTTCCAGGGAAGAAGACAAACAAACAAACAAAAAGTTTATGCCTTCTTAGATTTTAAAGATGTATGTTTGAAGATGCTTTATTTATTTTTTTCGTCTGTTTGCATTTGCCTTTTAAAGTTTGGTTTGTAATTAATAATTTTAGTCCATTGTACCTTTTTATCGTCTATATTGGAAGCTGCCTTGAATTTTCAGTGTTCGTTGTTCCATATGAAACATCCCCTGTTTCTGGCCAAACTGTCCCTTGTACCTGTAGCATATTTACATTTCTTTGGAAGCCCTTTTGCTGTTCGTGGTAATTTTATTGCTACAAGAACAAGTTCAGGCTGGTTTGGTGAGCTATCAAGCCACAAGATAAGAGGTAGTCAGCCTTAGGGCACCTTGGCTGAGACCCAAATGATCCTTTATATACAGTATTCTTTTTGCAGGAATAGTAATATATGCGATTCCAGAGCTTTTGTGCTCCAACGACCAGGTAGTCCTTGACCTATAACTATCCGTTTAGTGACCGTTCAGTTACAGTGGCACTGAAAAAAAATGACTTAGGGTCATTTTTCCACACTTACGACCATTGCAGCATCCCTGTGGTCAAAATTCAGCCGCTTGGCAACTGGTTCACATTTATGACAGTCGCAGTGTCCTATAGGGTCATGTAATCTCCTTTTGCAACCTTCTGACAAGCAAGGACGATGGACAAGCCAGATTCACTGAACAACCGTATTAACAACTCAACAACTGCAATGATCCACTAAACAACTGTGGCAAGGTCATAAAATGGAGCAAAGCTCACTTAACAACTGTCGTGTTTAGCAACAGGAATTTTGGCTCAATTGTGCTCCTAAATCAAGTACGTTGTTTTCAAATCGTCTGCTTCAAGGGATCCTTTTTCTATTAACTTCTCCTTATGAGAGACTTCCGTGCTCTTCCCACAGAAATCTTCATCCTTAGATTCCTTTGCAATTTATGTTTTTTTAAAAATATAAATAAAAGTGCTTGTTCTACAATTCTGGGTGATAGATTGGTTTTCCTAGTCCAAAGTGGGTGGGCGAATTGAAACTTTGGAAGAGGAATGCTGATGTTCAAAAACACTTCCACTTGTCAACATCTATCGCATCTGTTTTATTGATGTTGAAAATTCTGATGTTCTCATGTATTGGGATACTTATGCCTTCAACCACATGGGGTGGCGTTATTTACTGGAATGTTGGCCATTCCAAGCTGTGCAACAACTCTGAAACCAAGGATATATGAATATTGTATTTAAACATTGACATGATTTTTTTTCGCAGATGCCTAACCTTTGTGTATTATTGTTAAAATAGCAGTCAAATCCAATGTGTTTTGCACAGAAATCAACACGACAAAATCCTCTCAATTTCCACATTTATAGGATTGCTAGTTTACAAGCTTAAGGCTCAATCTGCACAGAAATCAACAATGAAACTGTGAAAAGCAAACAAAATGATATGCAGATGACAGTATGCTAAAGACAGTTTGCCCTTGTTCGTATTATTATAACTACAAGTTGGTTATAATATGGAGGATATAGTTTAGTATTACAACTGTTAACCTGGAGTACAGACGAAGGTGACATTAAGACAGTGGCGTTTTATGACTATTGTATTTACAAAGTTGATATGCTAAGTTGATAATCATTATAACAGTTGAGAGTACAAGTAAAATGTTCGATTTAGCCTTATATCTTAAGGAGGTCATGCTGACATTTCTAGCTAATTATATTAAGAGCAAAGGAAGAAAGATTACAAAAGAACTGTCTTTTTAAGATGGTTTCGTTCTGTCTTTAGGCAACGCTTGTCATCAGTTTTACCTGTCTCACTTCAATATTCACAGATATCTACTCCAGAGTATAACAACACAATAAATACGTATTATAGAAGCCGAGTACAGGTCCTAGACACAGGCTTCAAGCATTGAAAACACAGCTCTGTTCCAATAATGCCCAAAGTTATGTTGTCTTCATTATTTGGATTATAAGGTAAGTGTTAAGTAATGTCAAATAAATGTTCATCAACAAGAGAGCTGATGAAGTGATAGCATCTTATTCCCTCCAGAAACTTTAGTTTGAATAAATGGCAATATGTTTAGTATAAGAACATGTACGGATGTGGATTGAAAGTGAATTGGGCAGCTGAATGACAGCTGAACATTTGAAACGATTAGGTGGGATGCATAGAACAGAGAAGTTACAAAGCTATTACTACATCATTATTTGTTTTTATCTGAACATATATATAACTTGCTTTTCCACTAAAAATCTTTTTTTAACCACATCACTGTTATTGGGGTTGGGAGAAAGGTTTGATAATTGGCATCTCATCCTTGTTTATGTCTGGCTTCCATGTTTTGAAAATGCACTTCTACAAAAGATACAAAACAGAAAAGGACCCAAACAAAAAACAAACACAAGGCAGAACATAATTATTCCAAAACGTGAAAATTGAAAGGAACAAATATAAAGCATTTTAAAATTTCAAAAAAGTCAAAATCCACTCAAGACTGCAAATACGAGTCTATTCATAAAGATCAGAGAGATGCACAGGTATACAAGATGCACATAAATCTTATACGTATCTATTATGCCTACACTATAGGCATCTCCCTAAATGGGGGTGACAACTGTATGGAAAACTATATACATAACAAAAACAACTATATATTTAACTTGAAAGTATTGATAAATTGCTCCAATCCCATAGAATTCTTCCCTTCCGTCTGTGTATAGATGGTTGTGATGTGTGTATATATACTCCATATATAAGATACATCTGTATTAGGTGAGTTATAAGGGGAGGTGCATATGCATGTGAGATATAGGAGCATGGATCAATAATGTGTGTGTGTGTGTGTAGATGGATGGATGGACATGCATACATTCTAGACACGCGTGTATGTGTGTGTAGATGGACAGGCATGCATACACGTATGTGTGTGTATTTTCATTCTACACACGTGTGTCTGAACAGGAGCAACGGGGGCTGCGTGAACAAATACACTGTGAGACAAACCTATCTCTATGGGCTTGCCTTGCGTGGCCGTGCATGACTAGGCACGTGTGACATTCGGCCGAGGATGTCAACCGGTGTCTCACACAGGCACACTATGGGTGCAGGAGGTGTGTGCGTGAGAGAGAGAGAGAGAGAGAAACGGGCGTGTGAGACACGGGGCAGCCCCACGGACGCGAGTGTGCTTGTGCCTCGGCACGTGTGCGTGGCAGGTGCTCTCCTTGCACGTGTGGGGAACACACAGATGCGTGTGCCTGAAACACCTGGCTCGACCCTCCGCGTGTATAAAGCAACGCAACCCACCACCACCACCACACACAAACACACCACCACCATCCTCACCGCTGCTGCACAACAGCCTCACAAACACACCTCAGCCGGGGCTCCCCTCAGCAGCGGCGGCGGCGGCGGCAGGAGGGCGGGCGAAGGGCGGCGCGAGCTGACGCGCGAGGCCGCGGCGTTGCTGCTGCTGCCGCCGCTGTCGGCCCAGTCGCACAATTATGAGAAGGAGCCACCAGGCCGCTCCTGCCCTCGCCGCTGCTGCCGCCGCCGCCGCTCTGGAGCCCCAGCCGGAGCCTGCCGCGAGCCGTGCCCGCTGCCTCGGCGGCCACCCCCTCCGCAGCCTCCCGCCACGGCGGCGGCCTTCTGGCGGGGAGACGCCGCCGTCCCCGGCCGCCGCCGCCTCGCCCGGCCGCTTCGGCCTCGCGCCGCTGCCGGGCTCGGCGCCCATAGATGGAGACAGGCCCCGGAGCCGAACCCCGAGCCGGAGCCGCCCGGCGTGAGCAGAGCCAGAGCCGCCGGCCACCAGACAGCTCAGCCGCCGCCCGCCGCCCCTGAGGAGGATGGTGAGGCCTGGCCCGAGGCCTCCAGCCCGGCCTCGATCCGCAGCAGCAGCAGCAATCGGGCGGCGGGGGGGTTGGTGTGGGGTGAAATTGAGACGCCCCGGGTGGGGGGGGGGGGGGGAAACGTGGGAAGGGCGACTCGCGAGTTTGCCTTGGACTGCCTGTCCCGTGGATTGGGCGCCACATGGGAACTGTAGTCCCAACTCCTCCAGGAAGGGAGAGGTTGGAATCGCTGGGGGAATAGGATGCATTGGAATCTGTTAGCGCGCCCCTAATTAGAAAAAAAAGGAGACGAAGAATCTCTTCCTATATAATGCACGAATAAATAACAATATTGAAGCTCCCCCTTGGACATGTAGCTATGGAGGAGCAAGGGAAAACATGTCAGCAGCCCCCCTTTTCCCAAGGCATAAACTCTCCCCCCTTTTTTAACTGAGCACGTGCTTGAATTGGGCTTGGCAGGCTGTGCCGGCCTTGAAAATGGGGTTACCAGCATAAAATAGAGTTTAATTTGATGTGTGCCGGTACCTCCATGGCAGGGGTCTCCCACCTTAGCAACTTTAATATTTGTGGACTTCAACTCCCAGAATTCCTCAGCCAGGAGAGCTGGCTGAGGAATTCTGGGAGTTGAAGTCCACAAGTTTTAAAGTTGCCAAGGTTGGAGACCCCCTGCTCCATGGAATAGGTGATCTGGAAAGAAACAAGATTACTAAAGGCAATAAACAAAGACATTTTGGGGACTCCTTCCATTTTCTGAACCTACTTTCTCTATTACTAATCTTATGTTGGGGGTAGGTATTTGCAAATTAAAATGCATTAGAAATCATACTTAATTTGTAATATATAGCACAAATGGGCAGAGGAACTGATGGGGAGCTTCTGGGTGCCTATCATGTTAAATTAGGTAGACCTAATCGAAGTAAAAGACCTAAGTATAATGGTCTAATGTAACCAGGTTTTTTGACATTGACAATTCAGAAACCCCTTATTGTTTTTAAATAGAACATTCTCAATGCAGAACACAACTCTCTCTCCTGCCCCTTGTGTCATCTGAGCCCTGGGCTACACTACGTTTTATTTTACGATAAGGACTTCAAGGAATGCCTCTTAAGATAAACCTGGAAGTGTCTTTCTCTTTCTGTAAGGTTTGCAGAAGTTTGACCTTATTGAGATAGGAGTTCTGGAGAAACACAGAAAGCTTTGGATGTCTAGCATGGCAAGGCTGAGAGAGCTGAGTTTCAGCATGTGTCCAGAGCATTGATTGGGATCACATATTATGCTCACCGAAAGTTTGCTTATGCTGCCATTGGTGGAATAACTTACAGTAGGCTGAGTTCACACTCTCTTAAAGTTCAAACAGAACAATTTGTATTACTGTTTGAGATGAAACATTTATCCGCCTTCTAGATTTAATTTTTTCTCTCCATCTGACTATGTGGGGGGGTCTGTTTAAAGAAATTACGGGATGCCTTGAAGTCTTCTCACTTTGGACCAGTGAGGTAGAATTCTCTCACTTAGTTCTTTGCATATAAGTAATAATTTAAGGTGCCTAGGAAATTAGAAAAAGGAGTGCAGATAGTTATCCTTGAATTCCCCATAAATAAAAGTTGAATCGTACTTTTTCGTCAGGACTGTTCCCCCTCCCCATGGGAGGACAGTAAAGAATCACAGGCTACATCCCAGAAAAGATAATAAGCAGGTTTTCTCCTACCAAGTTCTTGAGTAAGCTTTGGAGTGGCATATTTGAAAGAATGAGTTTCATCAAGTGACAGGTGACCTGTTCCATGTTCTCATCCAACGTGAACTTTGAAGAGGCAGACTAGGCTGGTTGACTGTAGGCTGAGTTAGCTGACCTGCCCTTTCAAATCTATTCAAACTAAGGTCATTTTTCCAGCTGACACTGCTTTCAAAATTGTCTCGTTTTCAGCTTCCTGGTTAAGGGAGCTTCAAAGGCATGGTTTAGTCTGGCTCTTAGTGGGGTGTGATTGGTTGAATTTGTTTGCTGTATGTATTTTCCAACTATTGTTATAGCTGCCAACACTTGCATCTTACCCATTTTGATAGCTCCAAGTTCTCATAAGCAAACTTTCCCACATTAAGTAAATAATTTATCATAAGGATTAGGAAAGATTATTTGAAGTAATGATTAACCTTGCCTCTGTGTATTCTATTGACTTTATAGTGGAGAGATTCATAAAAAAAAGACAACTGTATGCATCTCTAGCAGTATTTCTTATCCCTACAGAATACCTTGAATGTTTTGTTTGGAAGAATTGAAAGACAATCAGATTTAATTAATATATGCCTATATCTGTTCCAAAATAACTAACTAGTACAGATTATAGGAATCATTAGAGCCTCCCAGTTCTAACAGCAAATACACAATTCTAGAATTCACCTCAAAAAGAGATCTCTGGCAGATCTGTAGCATCGCAAAATTGTGCATTCCAATTACCATTTTAGGATCCTATAGAAAAGGACAGTTGTAAAACTTCGAGAGCTTGTAGCATCCCAATAAACCTTCAAATTCTCCTTCAAATTATCTGCACATAAGAGATGCTGTAGAGAAAGAAATACATCTATTTCATTACTGCATCCCTTCTTCACACAGTTTAAGACATACAGCACAATAGTGGAGATACATTTATTTCAGTTCTAGGTAGCCCTTTAATCTTTTTTTTAAAAAGGTATACAGCATTTAATTTTGAAGGCTCTCAAGGAATTATATTCTTAAAATATGTGAAAATTCCACATGTCATTTAGATTTCCATGCCATGCTAAGTCATAAGGTTTAATTTTGTTTACCTTAATTTTTTTTGTGAGGTTAACTGTTGCAATTGATAAACTGCAGTTTAAGGTTGATGGTACAAAACCAACCGGTAGTGGTTTGTTCAGTAAATCCTTGTTAAGCAACTCTTGGTTTGCAAAATGGGGAAAAATAGGCAAGTGGAAATATAAACAGGGCCAAGGTAGTTTTACTGTCTAATGTGATGTGAACAATTTTTTACTGGCACACCATTATTCTTTTTCCCTGGAGGTGTTTAAAATAAACATGCTTAATAACAGACACTGTTGATTGCATATATGAGACTTTATATTCCAAGGGAAAACAAAAGTGCTTAAGCTGAGCTTAAAGATAATTTTGGAAATAATCACTTTTGGCTAATTATATCTGTCAGTGCCTTATTTTCCACAGTTAGAAAGAAGTTGTTGTATTCTCTTGACCAAAACCAAATGTGGTTTGCCATTCTCTTTCTTCAGTTTCTTTCTACTTTCCCGTTTATCCTACATTCTGATATTCCCTCGAGATTTCCCCTGCAAGGGTTAAGCCAAATTAGCTTTTGAGTTGAAGCACTTTGTGAGATATGTGAACAAATCCTCCAGCTATTACCCTTCTTAATTCAAATTGTTCCTGAAGCCCGTTTGTTTCTTTGATGTTAAGATAAGTTTATGAATATGTTCAACACAATTCTATGTTATAAAATCTACCTTTGAGCTATATAAATATTCAGTGTCTTTATGTTGCAGTTTAAGACATTAGCAATATACAGCGTGCTATTTTTGTCTAGTCATTTTTAATTGGTACTTCATCAATAAGAAGTATGGCAAATTGAAAAAAAATAGGCTTAGAACTAACATCTAGGGAGTCAGAAAGATTCAGATAATAGAGTTGTGTTAAGCTGAACGCTACCATTTTTATCTTGAATAATGAAAGATTTAAAAAGAGAAGTATAGGAATTTGGTTTCTTGAATATATCCTTAAATCTTAGTAGAGAAAAATTAGAGATTGCCAATCAAATACAATTACATATATTAGTAAGTTCCATCCCAAGAACCATTGTCTTATTACATCACTGCAGCTATTCGATAAATGAAGCTGCATCTGTAGAACTATGACTAATGCATTCAGTTACGTAAATGATCAGAGCAACATCAAAGTTGCGTTATAAATATCAAGCAGCAGGATCTTTTTTCATTGTTTTTATAAGTACCCTTTTGTGTAGAATAGTTGCTGTTGGGCTTCAAATAGGCAATTGCTTTAGCTTCAGTACTGAACAGTTTACATTGGGGTAGTTCATTAAATTTTCTCTTTTGTTTGGCAAATGAGTCACCACTTGTTTATGTGTAGAAAAAAGTAATTACAAGGTGTGTAGATTTTTAAAACAACCATCCAAACAAGGAGTTAACTAGATACATTCTGAAGTGTAACCTTATTACACTTTCAATGATTGTTAATAGTTTGTAAATGTTTCTATTAAAATATGTCCATAGATTTGCCAATTGCAATAGGACTCAAAATTGCTTCCCCGCTCCTTCGGGAATATAGAGCATTATTATTTTCTATAGGTCTCAGAGTAGGAGTCACAGGATCTGTATTTAACATTTCCAAAAAATATAAAGTGTGCCTTCCTTTGAGTGGTTATGAGTATTTAATTGGATTTAAAGTGGGAATCGAAGTCTGTTTGCGGTTAATTTACAAATCGTTATTTTTGACAAACCAAACAGAAAGTACTTGATTCACTATACCCTTAATGTTATTCTGTCAGCTGCCATGAGTATTTGGATTCAGCAGTACACATATTCAGAGCACACCTAATATAGTTATATGACACAAAGTGGGTTTCTGTAGGTCTTTGTGACCTAATCAAATAGATCCAAGCAGAATAAGAATTTTTTGCAGAAGAGAATTTTACATGCAGTCCTTTGAACCTATTTCTGTCTGTTTTGTTTGCTATTTATCTATGTTCCAAAACCAAACAAATCTGAATATGTTGTAATTTTGTAATTTTCTAATTTCTTTGGCTGTTAAGTAAGAATATTTTCATAATAATCTTTTTAATCTATTAGTCATATCAGACATAAAGATTTAATAATGAAAGCTGGCAGTGAAATTGGGTTTTGCATATTTCCCAGAATCAGCTATTGTCTTTCAGATCAAATATCCTTGTTGAGCAACTCCTTTTGCAAGAGAGTTGAACAAAGAGGAACATTTGTTTAAAAGT